CTGCCGCTGCGGCTGCTGCTGCTGCTGCAGCTGCGGCTGCTGCCGCTGCTGCTGCTGCTGCTGCTGCGGTGGTGGCGGCGGCATGTCTCGGCAAAGGAGACTGAAAGCATCCCTTGTCAAGCTGTCTTCGAATTCCGGTTGCTGCTGCTGCTGCTGCTGCTGCTGTTGCGGTTGCGGTTGCTGGCGTTTTTTCTGCTGCTGTTGCTGCTTCTGCTGCTGTCGCTGTAGGCGGCGCTGCTGCTGCTTCTTGTGCTGCTTTTGTTCATTGGAAGCCTCTGCTAACTCTTCTGCGTTGTTAGCTGGAGGATGGCTGCAGGTGGAGGCATGAAGAGGGCAGGGGTTTCGGGGATAGCTGCTGCTGCTGTTGCCAGCAGGCAGCAGCGGCCTCCGCTGCTGCTGCTGCTGCTGCTGCCGCTGCTTCCTGCTACCTCGCCCCTTACGCTGGGCCCGGGTTTGCGTGTCTTGCCAGCTGTTATCCTCAGCCTCCGCGCAGCAGCAGCAAGGCAAGGACTCTGCGTTCTTGCTGCTCTTGCTGCTGCTGCTGCTGCTGCTTCTGCTTCTGCTGCTGCTGCAGACTACTGCTGCCTGCACAGGAGGGGGGTCGTAAGTCAAGGACTCGAAACCGAAGCTTCGAATGAACGCTTGCCCCGTGTCTGCTTCCTGCTGCTGCTGCTGCAGCTGCCGCTGCCGCAGGACTTCTTGCATGTCTACCTTGGGGTCTTCTCGTTGCATTGCCTCCTCCTCCAGGAGCTCTAGCTGGCGTTCACGCTTTTGCTGCTGCTGCTGCTGAAATCTTCGTTCTTCTTCTTCTTCTCGCACGCGCAGCTGCTGCAGCTGCATGCGTATCATCTCTCCTTCTACAAACTCCTCCTCCTCTAGCTGCCGCTGCAGCAGACGCCCCTGCAGCAAAATCTGTTTTTGTTTCATGACTTCACTGGCGCGCTGCTCTTCAAGACGCTGCTCTTCTTCTTCTTGCTGCTGCTGCCGCAGCCTTCTTACAAACCGTTTGTGCTGTGCCTTCTCAGCGCGTCTTTGCTGCTCTTTGCCTTTTCTTTCACGTTCCTGCTTCGCCTCCTCTTCCTGCTGCTGCAGCTGCTGCAGCATCTTCTGCTGCTCTTGCTGCTGCTGCCGCTGCTGCTCCAGAAGCTTCTGATCTTGCTGCGGGTCATACAAACAATTCCAGTTAACTACAGCAAGAGAGCCCCCAGCTTGAAGAACTCGTTCCTCGAGCTCCCTATACACCCCAGGTGATGCTAGAAACTCAACCCGCCAGGGAATAGTCCCTGCTGCTGATTCAGCTGCCTCCTCATCGTGCTGCTGCTGCTGCTGCTGCTGCTGCTTCTGCTGCAGCTGCTGCTGCAGCAGGCAATCCACTGTAGGCTCTTGCGATTCTATGAAGCCCGCACACTCGCGGAGAATGAAGTGCAGCATGGAAGCAGCAGCAACAGCAGCAGCAGCGGGAGAAGCAGGAGTTGCAGCAGGAAGGGGCAGCAGCATAGTCAGCTTCATCAGGCGGCGACGTATCTGCCCCGGGTTGTGCTGCTGCAGCAGCAGCGCTGCATGCAGAGCTTGTGCCTTTGTTGGCTGCTTCAGACGTACAGAGAAACCAAGCTCTTTTAAAGCTGCAGATACAGCTGAACGAGATAAAGGGAGGCCGGTTATGACTGAGTAAGTCAAATCAACTACACAAGAAACAACATCATTAAACATCTGCTGCAGCTGCTGCCGGCGCTCCAATTCAGAAACTTGCAAATCACCTGTGCATACACCCCAAAACAAAGCATATCTAACATCATTATCATTGCAATTATTTCTACTGTTACTCTATTATACAATATACATCTATTATGTAGATATAGATACAGATATAGATATAGATATAGATATAGATATATGAATATATAGATATAGATATAGATATAGATATATAGATATAGATATAGATATAGATATAGATATAGATATAGATATATAGATATATAGATAGAGATATAGATATAAATACAGATATAGACATATTATATATATATGACGCCCTAAACCCTAAACCAACAATAAACATAAAACAGTGAGCGAGAAAGAGGGAAGAAATAAACCGGCAGTGAACAGAAGAAGAGAGACAGAAGACAAAAAGACAAACAATAAATAAACAACAAACTATCAGTAAACAATACGCCATATAAATAATAAATAAGCAAACAAAACACAAAATAAATAAAAGAATAAAAGACAGTACGCAATAAGAAAGCAACGCTACATAATAAACAAACAATAAAAAATAAACAGAAAATAATGGGAAATAAAAAACAATAAAAAGTAAACAATAAACCTGAAAAATAATAACCAGTAAATCCTAAACCCTACATAATAAACCCTAACCAATAAACCCTAAACCCTAAACCCTAAACCCTAAACCCTAAACCCTAAAGCACCTTTCTCGAGTATCCTTAAAATACAAGTCCTCTGATCATCGGTACCGAAATACCGCTGCAATTCCGCCTTCCGAGCCAACTCCCCCTTCGCGACATTCTGAAACACAACGTCTACTTGCAGCACCTGCACAGCAGCAGCAGCAGCAGCAGCAGCAGAACATGTAGATGACAACGAGGCTCCCTCACTGGCCGTTGCTGCTGCGCAGCAGCTGCAGCAGCAAAGGTACACACGGCATATTATCTCTCTTGCTGCTGCTACTGCTGCTACTGCTGCTGATACTTGTGCTGATACTGCTGTTGCTGCTGCTCTAGCTGCTGTAGCAGCCGCATATACTGTTGCTTCGTTATGCGCGTGGAAGTTTGTTGAAGGGCATTGGAACTTGCCTCGTTTAAATCGGTCTCCTTGCCTGCAGAGGTGATGAGGTGTACAGACAGAGGAAGCAAAGCAAATCACACGCACAAAGCACATCGCCAGTTCAATGGGGTGATGCATGCAGCCCCAAAGTCTCTGCAGCTGCATGCGCATTATTTACTGCTGTAGTGTCTGTTGTTGTGCTCTGCTTCTGCTGTTGGGATATTTAGGGTGACAGACTTAAGAGAAGAAAACCCTCGCACGCCCTGCAGAACCCTATTGGATAAGCCCTTAACAACCCTCTGAACCTCTCGCCCTTTAGGGATATATACACTTGCCTTCTCGCCAGTTAAGAACTTTGTTTTTATAACAGGCAATTTCAAAGCGTTCGCCTCCGAGCTTAAGCCGCACCACCGCCACGTTTGTTAGACGCACTTGACTAACTGGCTGTTTGAGAGACATTGCGTTGAAGAATAGCGAGGAAAGCTGGAGGATTTGATCTTCTTACGGCGTGATGAATGTTCAGACAATAAACTGACCAGAAGAAAGAAGAAAGAAGGAGCAAGAAATGCAGAAAAAACCGGAAAGCAACGAAAACTTTGAGCGCCGCGCATCCGGGTATAGACAAAGAATCGATGGGAAAGCTGCTTTTTTTTTTAAGTTTAGCGTTCTTCCACATGAAGTTTAGTGTTTATATTCATATTTGTAAATCTCCTACACAAAAAAAACAATATTTACACCCCCAGCTAGCTAACGATTGCATGCACATGCGGGGCTGGTACGGTCGCGCTTCATACCGTGAGGTGTACGTACACCCGAACAGCGAGCAGTGTACATTGAACCTTCTAGGTGATCATTTGCTTCATTTTAAATAAAATCTCTAATTTCTCTTTATTCAACAATCTTTAATAAGTTTAATGAGGCTATAAAAGCCCCAAGGGTAGTATTAACCCTCCCGATTGCTTGGGCGGGGCAATGAGGTCTCAGACTTTTTTGTTTTTTCTTGCATTTGTTACTGTTTTTTATTGAACACCAAAACTATGATTGATAGTAAAACCTCTAATTTTAGCATGTCTTTTCTCGAGACACAATTGATTTACCCTCATTGATGATGTCTCTTGTAGATTCCTAAGCCTCAGCTAGCTGCTGATGATTGTTCGCTAGCTTTAGCTCTGTGTTGAGCAGCAAGTCCGTCTAAAATATTTCACATAAAGTCAGTTAAAGCCCCATATAAATCTTTTTTTACTTTGCATGCCTTCTGGGGCCTGCTACGATGCAGATGGAGACAGACGAAAGAAGAGCTGCTTCATTGAAATGCAACACCCGCCTTCTTGTTGTCATTCCTTCTCTAACAAAATGCACCCTTTGCTGCATGCACTTAAACCCCTGTACACACATGCCAACTATTTAAACACTTAGTCTTCTATATCCCTCAGCAGCCTTCCTGCATGCAAGAATATATATATATATATATATATATATATGCAGTAAGGCTGCTGAAGGAGATAGAAGTAAATAATAAAATCATGCAGATTATGCACTACACTGTTACGGTCTCTTGGCCCCTCAACAGCAAACTAACACCAGGAGTAAATATATTTATTTGCTATAAAAGATAATCTAAGGTTTTTGTTCGTATAAATATGTTCATAAAAAAATAACTTATTAGCTCATTACATAATATACTCAGTCATTTATTTAAGTAAAAGCATATCTCTTTTGTTTGCTTCGGGTGTATCTTCTAAGACGAGTTAGTTGTAGATTGCTGTACATATATATATATATATATATATATATATTGTTGTTGCCTTTATCTAAATAAACAAATTAAAGAAACCCCACATGAACAGCAGCAGCTGCTGCACCCCTCAATACTCTGAGCCCCATTGTTGCATCTTCGTTTTGTTGTTTGTTTGTCTTAATAATGCATTTATGCATGCAATGTTTGCTGTACGTTTCTTTGCTGCTGCGAGAAAAGGAAGACTGTATTTTATTGCAGCAGTTGTTGCTGCTGCTTAGCAATGCAGCAGCATCAACAAGCAGCTGCAGCAGCAGCAAAGTGCTGCTGCAGCAACACAACTGGTCTCTGACGTGCGGCGCAGCAACGACGCCCACTGAAGTAAGATATAACACAATACAATAATAAAAGAAAATAATACGAAAATAACGTAATATAATAATAATACAGTATAATATAATAATAATATAAAATATATATATAATATTATGTTGCTTTTGCAAGACAAAACCACAAACAGTGCCGCACTGTACTGAAAAGAAAAGAAGATGGGGCTGATAGAGATAAAAAGGAGACAGTTTGCGGTGTACAGACGCAGCCTCTAGCAGCAGACTGAGAGCTACGGGCCACTCTCTCTTCTGCTGAAGACTGTGAGGTATCTCCTTCGTTTGTTGTTGTTTGTTTTTTCTTGCGTTTAGCTGGAGCTGCAGATTTGCTGCAGTTCGGATCAACTGTCGGGGATCGAGAAAGCCGCTGTCCCCGATCCCCGATCCCGTCCTCCCGATCCCCGATCCCCATCCCCCGATCCCCGATCCCGTCCTCCCGATCCCCGATCCCCATCCCCTGATCCCCGATCCCCTATGGGAGTGTGGGGAGGATTTCAGGAGCTCTGATCCTTGAATTCTATTAACACCCCCTTGCAGCAGCATCCGCTTGTAAATGAAGTTGCTATTTGTTTATTGTATTAATACTATTATATATATATTATATAATAATATAAAACAGTCTATCATATATATACGCATACATATACATGATAGACTGTTTTTACTCTTGCAGCAGCAAGAGGAGCAAATGGCCGCCAATCCTGCGCTTTTTTTTATTAGAGATCAGAACCCTAAACCCTAAACCCTAAACCCTAAACCCTGAAGCCTCTGTATATATGAGGGCACCCGTAACACCCCAGTAGAAAACCACAAACCCTAGACACTCCAAAGGCACACCCTCAAACCCTAAAAACGTGGAGCGTAAACCCTTATTGTTGAATCCTCTATAAACCCTGAAACAATAAAATGAGTTATAAGCTTCAAACCCTAAACCCTAAACCCTACACTCTGTTAAAGCTGCCCACTGGGCAGGCCGCTGCCGCCTTGCTGTTGTGTGGGTGAAGAGGAGCTTAAATTGCGTTTATTATTATTCTAAAAATATACTTTACTAACTAAAAAAGAATAATATAGTGATAATATTAATAATAAAAAATAAATAAGATGCTTAAGACCTACAGCTGAGATAAACAGACGGGGTGCTGGTCTTGTCTCGAGTAGCCAGGGTGTATACACACTCTTCTTTCTTCTAAAGACGCAGAGAGAATAAAGAATAACATAAAAATAATTAAAATAACAATATTTAAATTAAAAAATTAAAATAAAGAGAGAAAAAGAAGATATATTATTGTTTCCTTATACTACCAATGTTGGTGCTGGGGGATGAAGATGCCTCTAAGTTGAAGAGGGTTTGTCTGTATATGAACTGCGGCTTCTAAAGCAAAATTAAATGCGTCTCTCTTTGAATATAATTAATTAATCTTTTAATTACTTTTTAATTAATATTTCTTTACATTTTTATTCAAACCATGCCCCTACGGAGCTCAACACCGCCAGCATCTCAACTGTACGTACATCACCCCCAGCGAAGGGTTTATTAATGAAGTATTATATTATTTTTTGTTGTTTTGTTTATATTCTTTTTCTTCTATTGATATTCCTTTCTGCCCCCTCTCCCCTTCTAATTCATCTCACCATCCCCTTGGGAGCCACACATTCACTCATTCAAACCCCCAGCTTAGGGTTTATGGTCTATGGTTTAGGGTTTAGGGTTTAGGGTTTAGGGTTTAGGATGGCTACGTTTGTTGAGGGTGAGGGTGGGTTTTATCCTGTGGAGGATATAGTAGGAGTGAAACGAGTGTTTAGCAAGTTTTTTTTTAGAGTTAAGTGGAGGGGGTATAGCGATCCTCAAGAAGATACATGGGAGCCGATAGAGTCGTTTCAGAGAACTGTTAATTTTGAGTTCAGAAACAAAATAGAGGCATTAAAAAGATTATACTGGAGTACAGGACAAGCAGAGAAGGAGCTGATGCAGCGCCGCTTCCTCAAAAGTAAACAAACAAAACAAACTGCTAAAAAAACTCAACAGCTTGTACAAACTAATACACACACACATACACCACCCCACACGCAACGCACTCCAGCAAGCCGCAACAGCAAACAGCAGCAGCAACAACAGCAGCAACAGCAGCAGCAGCAGAAGCAGAATCAGCAGCAGCACCAGAAACAAACAAGCAAGGGCCTCCCCACACCCCTGGTTGCTGCTGCAAATAAAGGATGGGGGACCCCACATGCAGCTCCTCAGAGATCGAAACGGAGGACACAGCAGCAGGGTACAACCAGCAGAAGCAGCAGCAGCCGCAGCAGCAGAAGCGGCACAGTGGGTGCAGGGCCTCCTGCTGCTTCCTCCTCTTCTTCTTTCTCTTCTTCACCCTCTTCTTCTGAGGAGGACTCCGACTCTTCTTATTCAGACGGCCAGAGCCTGCAGTGGCAGCAGCAGCAGAAGCGGAGGGAGCGGCGGCGGCAGCAGCAGCAGCAGAGGCGGCGGCGGCAGCAGCAGCAGCAGCAGCAGATAGGGCAGGAGCCTTCCGAACCGTTAAGGCAGGCCTTCCCACCCCCTGATTCGGCAGCAGTTGAGGTGTACATGCAGCGCTATTTGAAGCAGCAGCAGCGGCAGCAGCAGCAACAGCAGCAGCAGCAGCAGCGGCAGCAGCAGCAGCTGCAGCAGCAGCAGCTGCAGCAGGGGACTACAGTGGGCTGTCTCCGCTTTGGGGGATGCCGAGTTCGGGTGTCTCCTCAAGCAGCAAACAGAGACGACAGCAGCAGCAGCAGCAGCAGCAGCAGCAGCAGCAAACACGGAGCCATGAGCAGGAAGTCTCTGCAGCAGCAGCAGCAGCAACAGCAGCAGCAGCAGCAGCAGGATGAGTCGCACCGAAAGAAGAGAAAGCACCAACAGCAAGAGCAGCATCAGGATCAGCAACAGCAGCAGCAGCAGCAGCAGAAGCAGCAGCAGGAAGTCTCCCCCTCCAAGACAAACAGAAGGAGGGGGCCTCTGCGGCGCTGTCGGATGCAGCAGCAGAAGACAGGAGTAGGGCGAGTGGAGGCATGTGGTAGCAGCAGGAGGGTGAGCATTAGCA